CCTTTTCAAATTATATCCGCTACGTTTCTAATACCGTAATTCAAGCTCAATTGCACATTATTTTCAAAAAATAAATTCTTGTCTCCTCTTCTGTTCGCAATAAATCGAAGTTTTTCAGAAATTCAGAGCACTATTTTTCACTCGCGGCGGTTATGCGTCGGGACATGGTCGGGTGATCACTATGAATTCAGCTTACGTTGATATGTTAGAATACAATATAGCATATAGAGTGGCGATGAAACGTCACAGCAGTGGGCGTTACCCTGTATGGTTGGAAATTTCGGGTTTGTAAGTGCACTAGTTGGGACTACGTCCCAACTAAAAACGATATTACACTATTAGGCGCGTCATTGAAAAATTACTCATTTTTACAGTTTACTGTTCTTAGTTTATATATGTGATAAATAGAATATTATATTCGTGTAGATTCAATACTAAATTTATTAAACTCGTTAAATAAAACAATATTATGCTCGCCAGAGTCTCGCATAATATGATTTGATTCAACTCGTTCAATTATGTAGTATTAAACTACACTCATTCAATATCCTCTATATATCATTTTTATTATTATTTTAGTTTTCTATAAAGCATCCCGGATGAAACAAGTTTTTACCTAATATACTGTCTTTGTGCATAAACAACATAATTGCAGATTCACGTATATGTATGTGCTTTTACCGTACTTAAAATATATCAAGCAAACAAGTAACAGCTAGTTCCCCTATTATGAGATCACATGCACTTAACACTTGTTCTGTAACACTTGAACGTATCTCAGCTTTAAACATATACAAGAACAGATCATTCAATTGACGTCATTACAAACACTTACGTATATTGTCTATAAAGTATCCTGCTTAGCCGGAAACAATAAACAGGAACTTACATTCTTCAAACTGCAGTTTAGAATATATCATAAAAACTATAAGTACAATTTAAAGAACAAGATGACGCACACCACTTAAAAAAACTTCCTTGTTATATTAGCGAATTACTGATAAAATAGGAATCGATGCTCTCGCGTTCAACTGTTTGCTCTTAAATTTTAGTTATTTATTTTTTTATTTATTTACTTATTTATTTTATTATAATATTTATTGATTATAAGATAACTGTGGCGAATGTTTGTGATACGGTGGCACATAAGTGAAAGGAAAAACGTTTTACTCGAACAAACGACTTACTATCCTGAAAGCAGACACTAAGTCATGGGAACGAGTTAACAAAAACAGTGCAATTACAACCCCTTATAGTCCATGATGACCTTTTGTCGGTCACTTTATTATTAAGGGTCTGAATGACAAGGAAAAATAAACATGAGCTTAAAATCATCAAAACAATCTTTCTCACAAATTTCTAGAATATTTTGGCTGAAAATGTTACCTCTTAAGTGTTAGCAAGTATTTTTACGAGCTAGTTTTTGACCTAAGGTGACCCATGTCCAAATTTATGCTACAAATTATTTAAACAAACTTTCAGACAAGTATCTAAGCTATTTGGACTGAAACAGTATCCACTAATGTATTAATAATTATGAGTTTCTTTCTTTAGGTCATGTGACCTAGTTTTTCATCTGCGATGACCCATATTCGAACACTCGAGTAATTTCTAAAACAAACATCTCACTAAGTTTCGTGATAATTTAGACAAAAATTTGACCTCTAGAGTGTATACGAACTAATTAACCGCCTCCGTGGTCGAGGGGTTAGAGTCGATGACTTCTAATCCAGTTACCTCTCTGGGGTGGGTTCGATCCCCGGGAGTTAGTCTAGTACTGGTGTAACTCTCCAGGAACGATGGTTAGGGAACTACCCGCCTTTATGACTGAAATACTGTTGAAAAAAACGCGTAAAATAAAACAAACAAACAAACGAACTAATTGTGGACGACAGACGACGGAAGACGGACATGCATTGAGCCTAAAGCTGAGCCTTGGCTAGCTCAGGTGAGCTAAATAATGATGTGATTTCAATTAGAAAAGAATCGTGATATAGAAATGAATGACAAATACTAACTATTTCGTGGGAAAGACTTACCAGCTCATTGGAACGAGAAAGTTATGTCGTGCAAATGACCTGATATTTCGTTCTTATGACAAAGCCATCTAGTTCCCACAACAAAGCTATATAGTTCCCACGACATAGCTAACTCGTTCCCACGACAAACCTACCTATCATAGCTAACCGATCCCACGAGTAAGTCAGCCGATCAACTGTCTTGTTCAAACTATAGTCTGTCCCATCAAATTTGAATATTCCATTTTTTATTTAATACAATGGTAAAATCATTTAAATTAATGTCATGTTAACCCTGACGTCAATAACTCTAGGCATGGGACAGACTATAGTGTTCAATCATTAAATTTAAATGATATTATTTGATTAGTCCGGTATCTCAACCTTTTTGACTTTGAATATTTAAAACTAGAGTTTTTCGGTTTATGCCCAAATTTTATTGTCAAGTTGAGACTGCTCAACAAAACCATCTCGCCCCGGGTTAACTACATGTATATATTTCAAAAGATCGACTGTTATAATGGTGATTGACCAACAGTTGCTATTACAAAATGTTAGGGATGAGACAAAAATCTGCCTTAAGTATAAAATGACTGCCCCGCTCTTTTTATAAATTGACTCCCTGGAGTAAACATCTCATGGGAACCAGGTAAAAATGGCAGTACATTCAGTGTTTGTTTGCTTTTTTTTGTTGTTGTTTTTTCTTCAAGTTGTTCCTGTCACCTCTATGCCACCGTACCTAAAAGATTGCATAATAATCGATCTTGAATTAATCAGTCGAAATAACAAAATTACCAATAACAATTCTTAAGAAGATGTATTATAAAAAGACGAATGACAACCATGTTCTTTCATATAACATAACAACTACAAAGCATCAACGGACACTCAAGAAAATAAAGTTAAATGGACTGAATTACTTTAGTAACAATACAATACTCAGTTTATACAGAATTTATTTTAGCTCGATTGTTAAGGAAGCTATAAGTTTCTAAATACATTCTCGATTCTATTCCTGGAATCCACCAGTACTTAGCAATGAGTATAAAGTTTCTTGCTCAATGTAACAACGCCAAGCTACGAATGAAGTTTGAAGCGATGTGGCCAACAATCCTTACACGCTAACAACTCCTCCACGCCAACACTGATAGTTACTGCTAAAAAATTAATGAAGGATCATCTAATATAAATTCGTCAAATTGCACGTGTATAAATAATCAGAATTATTCTAATCGCTAAATTTGGGATTCCAAAATATATACATATATATACTATTAGGTAAAATTTCTAATTTGCCGTATTTTATTAAAAATGCTAATTCGAATTTGTGTAATATGCATGTAAGAAGCAACGGATAAAACAAAATATTTCCTCTTTTACGACTATGGGTCTGGTGTTTTGTTTGTTTGTTTTTTTAGCTCACCTGAGCTTGCTCTTGTTGTCTAGTGGCTACTGTTGTTATCCAAAAATCCTGGACATTGGTCTGCAAGTTTGTTTTTATGATTTCTAGGTCAAGTTCCAATATGGGTTACCTCGGTCAAAAACTAGGTCACACTGCCCAAATATGGATCAACCTTGTTAACACTCTAGTGGTCACAATTTTGACTCAATTGTCATCAAAGTTGGTCAGGATGCTTGCCTAAGTAATTGCTTTGATGAGTTCGATTGGTCAGGTTAGCGATCTAGGGCCATCTTGGCCCTCTTGTTCTTGTTTCTGTTCGTTTGTTTTTTCGTTAAAGAAAAATACATAACGAAATATGAAGCTACATTTTTATTAAGCAATATTTTAGGATGTACGCAAAGAAAATAAACTAACAAAATAATAATTTACAAAAAAAAAACAGTTTGCGTTCAGGAACAAAGTATTACAACATTTGTTATCTTACAAATTTATTGTACCAGTTTCTTATTTCTTTGAAATGTGTTTTTATGTGCATTTTTATACAATGAAATCAATTTAGAACACTATGATGTATGTTTGTCTGAATTTATTCTTAATTTGGACTCAATACCTGAATAAATCGTACGTTTAGACTTTTTTTTCAAAAAGCTAATTGACTGTTTAGATTATTTATTAATAAAAAAATTACATGTAAAAGCAAATTATCAGAAAGTTAAACAAAACAATGACCAAAAAGCATAATAAACAATATTTCCTTTTAATCATTTCATATGTTGATTAAGCAAATTAAAATACATGTAAGTCAAGCTCGACGTATACCTTATATCACAACAACAAAAACCGAATAATCAATACAATTGCTATGATAATATTGACGCCAAGGCAAAGGCGTATCTAAGCGTAGTACAAAATTATCATAATCATTATATTGATATTTCCATTCCAAAATACATCCAAGAATTGCTTCAAAATTGTATGTACAAAATCAATATGTATTTTACAATTGCTCTTTCAAAACACTTACAACTATCGTACACAAAATAGCATTATTTACAATAATAAGTGAGGAAAAACAAATAGTTGTTTGAACTTAAGACATACAAACATACTGCAACAATGCTCTATTGCAGACGCATGCATTCCATGCAACAATATGAATGGCAGATATATATACAGCCAGGATTATTTCACAAAATGGATAAGCCGCACTATTTTTTTAAAAAGATTTAATGTAAGTGTTGTACAACAGTATCATTTAACCGAAAAGCACAACAAATAGGCAGTATCTATTATCTAAAAGATTTCTGTTGAAAACAATGTTAATTTTCACAAAATGAAAGGCATACAGTCGGACCAATTTTCTATTATATCCGTAAAAGCACATTCGTATGCTATTGTGGTGGTCGCCAGTCTAAATGCGTGAATATTCAAACTCGCCGCTCAAAGTTTGTGAAAATTAAACCATTTACAATCAAATCATTTTTTTAAAAAATACACAAATACATACTCATTACACGAACCAAATACCAAAGAGCACATAGTAAATGTCTCAACAACATAATGGCTATTATAACTGTATTTGATGCTATAAAAAAGTAAGCATAACACATGTAAGTGTATAATGAGCAATCCATCCCGCCACTTACACACTCCGTCAATCGACCCACCTGTCAAATTTAATAAAAGGGGTGACCTAAAATGGTACAATACTCATCAATCAACATTAATTATCTCAGAAAATGTCTTTTCCCATTACTTCTATGATAGCAAAATACGTCAAATCAAATTGTCGGGACAATATCATTTTGCAACCAAAGAAAAGCAAACAGAAAAATCTGCAAAATTTAAAACGTTACAGGCTCGGTTTGATTGCGCCTGTTCATGTTAAGCCATATTATGGAGTTAAAATATAGGTAACATAGAATTTCTTACTAATCGACAAAGATATAAAAGCTCTTAACGACATGTACAGATTTTGTAATCAGCCGCGGGATTCTTAATTTGCTTGATTGATCCTCTCCTCTTTTAACAGCACTCGTCACACTGGGCGGGATGGCTTTCCTCGAGCAGTCTCCTTCGATTGGACCTTTTCATATTTCTGGCCTATAATTTTGGCTCCTTCAACACTACAACTTGTCAGGTTCTTTTTACCAACTGATATTTGATAGTCTATGTGTAGTAAACTAACCACAGAATACCGCTTCTTTTTGTTAAAACAACAATTTAAATTTTGATAGAATTAACATGACACAAGTTCTTTGGCTTAGTTTAAATATGTAGTGTCATTATTTAAAATTTCAAAGTGTAATTAAATCATTACAATTTTTATATTCATGCTCTGATGGACATCTTTTTATGTTGTAACTCTATCGACTTCTTTTAGCTCATTCATTTTAATGTCAGATGCAGAGAAAGTGCATTTATCAAACCCAACTTTGGCTGAAGAATCATCCAGTCCCGTTTCTTTTACTACCGACTCAATACCGTCCTCGTTTGCTACTTCAATTGGCATTCCTTTTATATCTGATTTATTGAATGTGACACGACTAATTCCTATATTTTCGGATACATCATCTTGTTCAGTCTCCTTCGTTGGTGTTGTTATACTATCCCTTTTTGCTGCAATAACTTGTGGCCCTTTACCGACTGATACCTTCTCAGTGGAACGACCTGGCAATGGTTTTGTTCCCTTTCCTTTCTTTCCATGAGCGTTTTCCTCAGCCATACCAATATCGTTGTGAATGTTACCTCCAGTCCCTCTTTCTGCAGCAGTACTGTCAACAGATTCTTCTGTGGTGCCAGTTTTCTCGCCAATACTTTTAGCATCATTTCTTGTAGGAATATTGTCATGTGGATCCCTTCCATTTCCACTGACGTCAGACTGTCTGTTGTCATCATGTGAGCGTGATGAGTTGATGTTATTTATCATCAAATTTATAATGGTTGTATTTTCTAAAATGTTCAACGATTTGAATATTTGTTATAAAATAAAATCATGATTACATTTTCATCAGACCAATTTGTACAAAAAAGTTGGTTGAGAAGAAAAAGTCATCCTAATTATTTTTATTGCAACTAGAGTAATCTTTTTATCTTGCCACAGTACATGCTCAAAATATTTTGATATCAATGTAAGGTTTGTATTTTATTCATTTCCTAAAACATTGTGACGTTCATTGAATTAGCGTTACTTACAAAATTATCTGAATACCTTTGTATAAATTAGTGTCTTTTTCATCTATACACATTGAACTGTTCAAAATCTTAACATGCAAATTAATCTTCTAAAATATAAGCTATCTATTCAAGGAATTTACCTCCTCCCGGTTCTTGACCAGCTGAACGATTTTCTTCGCTAGTGTTTGGTTGTTTACTGTCTTTCTTTTCATCTAAAGGTGGTGCAGAAGGAGCAACAGGATCAGCGAGGGCAGCTGGAGTTTGATTTGACGGGTCATTATACTGATCATGCGTGACATTACTATTTACACTAATGTTCAATGTTTCATCGTCTGTTTTTATGCTTTGGTCTTGAACTGGTAACAAGGGTTCTTTATTTTCCCTGCTTTCGAATGAACTATCACTGTTTGTTCTTGACACTCGTTGTCCCTTTTCTTTTCTACGAGTTCTGCATAGCATTATTACGCAAATGATAATGCTGATGACCAACAAAACAACAACAATGCTGAGAATCAACGTTGCACGTTTGAAACCTTTAAATACAGTAAAGTATAATCATTTTCTTTACCATGTTATGTATGGAAGATATTCTTTGAAGACAATTTTAGATTTAAATGATTTTAACATTATTCATTTCCACATTTTGAGTTATTGGATCGTAATGGAAGGTCATGTTTAGGTTGATAGTATTAAGTATGACAATTAACCAAGTTATTGCCAAGTGTTAGATACCTGGTCCAATATTACATACAGGTATATAACAGATGATGTTGTATTAGAATAAAAATTAGTTTCATCATATATATGTCCATACTAAATTACTTAAAATTTGATCTTATTTTCATGAAGTATTTCATTAAGAATTTCCAAATCATACTTTTCTATTTTATTACATTATCTTTTTTCTTATGAAAAACTGCCCACTGTAGATCAATCCACTTTAAATATTTGTAAGTAGAAAACAAAAGTTAACAAAAAATGCCGAAATTAAGAAACTAAATAAGGAGATTGCAGATAAATAAATATATCGTAGCTTTCTCTTACCAATCCAAGATAGATCAGAACAGTAAGGAAGTGCCTTTTGATTCCAAGAGTCATTGCCTAAGCACACAATTGTATCATTTCCTTCTAATCTGTAATCAACGTCGCATCTATACACAATTGCAGATTCTGATGGAATTCGGCTACCATTGTAAGGTGGGAGCATAGCATTGCCGTGTGCTAAGTTCATCAACGTTGGTAGAACTATACAGGAATCTTCTGTAAAAATATAATACAAATATTACGCTTATTGATAAGTACATTAAACCACTTCCAAGGCATTCTTGACATACATTCGTTTAAATTAACCATTTATAGGAGAGAACGGTTGCTGTCTCTGTTTACATGTGATCGTTATAAAATGACAGCTTCAAAGATTTTAACTTAATACCAATACATTGTACCAATATTATTTTATGAATACATCTTTGTATAGAGAAGGAGTATAAATCATTTACCATTTTCTTTCATGGTTTTTGTGATCGCTCTTTCAACAGCCAAATCTGTAGAAAAATAAGTTTATCGATATTAATGAATGAATGTTAAATGTTTAACTAAGTCTCAATGACTAGAAACACAGTATATTTATTGCCGAAACAATAATCTTTACATGGAAAAAGTGTCACTTTTTATATGGTTGATTTAACATATCTTCTCAACATCTTTCATACAAACTATATTTTCTTTCTTCCATATGATTTGTAATAAGTTAACCACAATTTTGAGATTTGCTTACAATTGAAAAACATTATTGTTTTGTCAACAAGACTTAATTCTAGTATCAGACAAACCACAGATTATATTAATTTATATAACTGGATCATTTGTTTAATATTCTTACACTAAAGTTCTTCCTTCACTTATAGATTAAAATAAGATATTTTGATCTTACGTAAAGAAATAGAATAAACTGATAAAAATGGCATATTTGACCTTTATTTATCTAAAAGGTAATCTGATAAACTTAGGTGTTCAAAGTTTTCAAATACTAATACCAATATGATATATTCCTAATGTATTTTGTATTCCATGATTAAATTGTAAATAACATGTAAACATTTGAAAGAAAATGTATAATATATCATGTTTACATTGATAGTATTCTGATCTATTGATGTTTACCTTGTTTCAGTATCTAAAACTATCATTTTGTACCTTGGTGGTATTTTAAAAAAAAAACTATTATAATTTATATCGGCATTATTCTTGTCTTGGCATTATACTTATCTACTATTTTATACCTTGGTAGAAGTTCAATCTATCAAAACTTAGAAGTATTTTGTACATTTATATATGTATTAAGCACTTTTCTAATTTATTCTTTTTTCCCTGACAGTTTCTTCATTTGTTACTTTGAACTAGTCTAAACTTTTTCTACCTTGGCAGTATTGTGTACAGTTCCTTGGTTGACTTGCTGTGCCGCATTCCTCTTTGATATCCTCACAATTTCTACAATACTTAAAAGTCTCTGAGCAGAATTGAAGCTTATCACCACTGAAATGATATTGTGTTGTGTATGCATGATTATGGATAGAGTGACATTGACTGAATGGTATTCATATAACAATAGGGTCCAGAGGGACCTGGATCGCTCACCTGAGAAATAGGTCAAACGGTCAAAAAAGCTTAATCTGAACAATTTTTGTACACTGTAACCAATAAAACTTTTATGTAAAATTATTTCAAAATTAAAGCAGCGGCTGAGATGTTGTTTACATGTTGTTTTCTAATTTAAGCTCTGGCAGTCTCGTGCCAAATATCTAAGCTTGACCTCTTTTGGCCGCCTCCGTGGTCGAGGGGTTAGAGTCGATGACTTCTAATCCAGTTACCTCTCTGGCATGGGTTCGATCCCCGGGAGATGCTTTGGTAGTTTAGCGCGGAGGAAGGTAGTCTAGTACTGGTGTAACTCTCCAGGAACGATGGTTAGGAAACTACCCGCCTATATGACTGAAATACTGTTGGAAAAGGCGTAAAATGAAACAAACAAACAAACAAATTGACCTCTTTTGGATTTTCACAAGAAATTTTTTAAAGTTTTTACAACATACATAAAAGGAAAATCAATAACCCCTGGGGCCGGGCAAATTCTGACCCTAGGGCTTCTATTTGAACAATGTTGGCAGACATCTACTAGAAGATGTTTTATGCCAAATATCTAAGCTCTAGCTCTTTTGGATTTTCACAAGAGATTTTTTAAGTTTTTACTATATACATGAATATATATGGAAAATCAATGACATTATGGGGTTTTATTTGAACAAACTTGACATCCACTAGAAGATGTTTCATGCCAAATATCTACGCTTTAACTCTTTCGATATTTTACAAGAGGATTTTTGTAAAATAATATTTTGGTTGCCATGACAACCAGAGTTCTTTATTGAATCTATTCTTTGAACAACTTTGGTAGAGCTTCAAGCAAGGAACAACCCTACAAAGTTTCAACAAATTTGGCCAAGCGGTTTAGGAGGAGAAGTTGTTTAAAGAAATTGTTAACGTACGCACGGACGAACGGACGATGGACGACGGTCAATGGACCATCAGAAAAACACAGGTGAGCTAAAAAAAAAAGACATAGGTCAACAGTTGCTTTATAATTATGTAGCACAGAAACAGTTCATAGTACTTAAGTGTTTATTCGCGCCTTTTACACGAGTTGTTTTTAAATGACAAGTTATTGTAAAAGTTACAAAATGTAATTAAACGAAATTTATGTATTTTCATATTTTATAGCATTACAACATCAACTACAACACATAAATATAAATTAGTTGTTCTATTTCGGCTTACGCCAATATCAATAAAATCAACGGACGTGAGTAATAATAGTTTGCAACCTTAAAATTGCGAAATAATGTACTTATCTAATATGCGTGTTATTAACAGTCGTAATTATACAAATAATATAAGAGATAAGTACTTTTTGGATAGAGATATATTAAATAAAAAGCGGAAATAGGATAAGAAAAATAGTACTTAAAATATCATGCACACAGTATTATGTTCAACCTGTAACACTTATCAATCGGCTTTGTATTCATTCCTTCTGGATATTATGTTTCCATAAAAAATATACATAAATACATGGGCCGTACTTTTTTCAATGGTACTTTTGGGCATAAATGAAAAGTCATTGAAATTATGATCATTGAAATTTAAGTGTGAAGCATCATTTGTGGTAGATGGGGGATATGTAAAATTACATATATCAATTTGTTATGATGTTATGACACCGCTTGCTTAGTTGGCCCAACATATTACATATTGATTTTATATCAAAAGTGATAAGATAAATAACATTTTAAGTTTGGCAGTTTATATTGTAGCGTAACTGATTGTTTTGGAGGGAAGGAGTAATGTATCTGGTAAATGATGAACCAGTATAAATGCGTTAGCAATGGGAACACAAATTACCGAAGAGAATCCGTATTACGACTACATACTGAAAAATCGGATCTCACTAAATAATCATAAAGATTCTTTGCACGTATATATGCAACAACTTCTTTGTAATTACTGTGCCGAATGTTGTGCCAGAATGTTTAGAAGTTTTCAAAATATCCCAATATTTATAAATGATACCATCTATACTTGACAAAAACGGGTTGTTTTTTTATATATCATTTCACTAAAGTATGATTTTATTATTTTCTTTTAATGCTTTATTGCACTGATTTATTACTCAGTCATTGAGTCTAAAATAAAGGATTTAACTGGCATTTGAACTCACAAAATGAGAGTATTTGTAAAAGACAATGTCTTTTAAAGTCGTATATTTATGGTCCAAGACAATGGCAATATAAATTATATAATGATATAAATAAAGGATGTGGTGACGTGACCGAGTGGTGAACTCGTCATACTAGTAAACTAAGGACCGCAGACCAGACCATAGGAGTTCAAATCCTTCAGCGATAAGCTGTTGTTTCCGACAACAAGTAATATAACACTCATTGCTTAGAACTTGTTGGTTCCGGGAACGGATTCGATAGTATTTCAATAAGCGTATAGCTTTCAACACAATCGAAATTAAATAAATTCGAATAAACTAAACTTATACAAATTTTGCTGGTCATGTCACAAAAAAGATATCGGTGGTTTTCAAAAGACATAATAAGGAGAATAAATGGTAATAAAAACAAGAAGCAAGAAATATGTATGAATTAAGTTTAAAACATTTAACCTCCGCTTCATAAGTAAAGATAAAACTTCAAGGTGAGTTAAATAAAAAGCTTACTTAACTAAAAAAGCATTATATATGTTATGTTATTATATATGTTTGTTATACACATAAAATAAATAGAACACAAAGATACAGGTTGTCAGCACATTGTCGAATCGAATAGAATAACGTTACAATCGGAAAAATATAAGTATGCGTATTTACTAATATTTGGGAGCATATGACGCCAGTAATAGCTTTATATACTCACATGTTACACCAGTCTCCATGGCACATGTATTCTGCTCTCTGGACTTGCTCACTCACACAAATAAATACAAGTAGCATAAAAATTATCCCTGAAAATAAAATGGATACCAGTATAAGATTACGCCTGTACTATGTGTTTATTGTTATCATCAGAACAAATTTTCTTTAGAAAAAAAACTGCAGTTTTTCGTGTATTCGAGTTTCAATAAATATGAAATTTTCTATTGGCCTTCTCTGTCCTTAATGTAGATAAGACACCTAGAAAACACAATCATCTGGTTGTGCACTTTTTTAGAGCTTTTTCTATGCCCTCGAAAATTCGATTGACAGTAATATTTAGGAAAACAAAAAACACGTCTAATTATGAGGAAAAAGGTCTTATTTGGATAGAAACCGAATTTAAATATCATGGTTAAATATTAAATTCAGTACTGTACATATCTTATTACTTAGTATACAATGCAAAGTCTCATTTTGATTGCGAATACTTCTATAGTCAATTAACCAGTTCCGATACAGGACCATTTCCGGTTTCTTTAATGCCGTTTTCATTGAAATATTTCCTGTATTTCTGACAATTGAATTTTTTGCTGATAATATTACACAATGTGTGTCTAACCGTGTGTTGGCAGCTCATTTTCTTATAAATTGCCAGTTATTCTTGGGGGGGGGGGGGGGGGGACATTGCATGGGTCGGAACAGGTCCTGTGCCGAAACTGAACCACTGATAGTACATTTCTTAAACTCTCAATACAGTTATTTCTCTTTCTTTCTTTTTTTTTTGGGGGGGGGGATTTGTTTACTCATATAGTTCCTTAATATCTAATATTAAACCCTGCAACAGTGTTAAAATGGCTCTTGGTCATGTGTGCATGTATGTGATTAAAAAACAATAGTAACAGTCAACCGCTTATTACAAAAATATATGTCTCAAAGAAATAACGTTGCACCGGGAAGTGTGACCTTGATAGTGACATTTTTCTAAACCAAAAGTAAGTAATTTTTACAATGTAAGCACCCCTTTAGACAGCGTGAAGAAAATTAATTATATTCAGAGTTCTCTGCTAACGTTGCATTTCACGGACATTACTTGCATTACACTTCTGATGATTACAATAAACACATAGTACATTTTTATCCGAATTACTTCTTACTTCTAATTTCATATGAGTCGTTAATAGTCTTATCAGTGCTTATTCAATAAATTAAAACATTGAAAGTGAGTTGACAGTTGTCAAATTTACCAACAAAGCTAAGTGAAAAGTTGGACATGATTATATTGTCATGTTTACAAATTACGCAATATTATATAATAATTAATCACATTGTCAAACCAACAAAACACGTAAAGCAAAAGAAAAAATAGCTACCAGTCTCAATTTTTTTCTAAGTAGGTAAATTTGAAATGAAAAATAAACATATGTTAGTTAAATTTCTTACCTTCCATTTTATACAATCACGTCGAATATATTTTACGTTTGCATTTGCACTTACATGTATCCATAAATAGCAATTGGTATCCCAATATGTACATGTATATAAACGTTTATATGATATGTCGAAATGTCCGCCTTATTTTCAAGCGGCGAATCATATCTAATAATAATGAAAACTTGTATACCATTTGAGTTGTTAAAACATATGATCTAGTTTTCATTTTTTAAATTAAACTCGAAACGATTTACAAACAAGTAAATATTCTGACGAATTATAATGATCAAATTGTGTGACAGCTTGACTCGTACATGTATTACTATAACTATTTTAGGTATTAACGTAATATCTTTTCGATCTTGATTATTTTGAAATGCATTTATGTAATGCATGGTCTGTGTGTACACCTCCTACTTTTGTTTTGTTTATTTTTGTTTTTAATTTGCTGTCAAGAATGGATTTGACTAATATTCAATATTTTGTTGTTTTTATGTCTCTCTGAATGCATAGAATTTATAAACATGTACATTACTTTACATTATATACCGCAATATACAGTTATAAAAAAGTAGGATATACACATCTAGCCTTAATTTCAGGTTAATCAAAACAGTGTTTCTCTTGCTACCAGGATAATGTTTATTTTGAGAAAATACATAAAATTTACAGAAAATAAGTTGGCCTCTCAGTTTTATTTATTATAAAATTAATGTCCATTTAAAACGTTATAAGAGTGACGTCCCTTTTATGTTGTATTTGGCATCGTTACTAAGCGAAGTTATTATCGTCATTATCTTTTTTCTCTAAAATGATTATCATAGTTTTGTTATTAAATAATTTCGACATAAATCGAAAAAAGAATCGCTTCATTCTTTTTCCCTGCTATTTTCCTGTGCACAGTATACATGTAATACACCCCCATATGAAGGGTATTGCTTGGTGAGCAATTATTACATCTACAACAAATATATTAAGAAGTAGAGCCATTGAGTTTTCCCTACAGTTGTGTTGCCTTTCTTGTAATGAATATTTATATGGAGCAAGATAGTATTATTTGGTTTTGGTTGCTACGGTTTTTCATTTAAATTGATATCTTGTTTTATATCAGTGTAATTTGATATAGTTTCATTTAATATCATCTTATTTTCATTAAGAATCGACATACTTTGGTTGAATACCAGCACAATTATGAATCTGTTTCCATTAGCATATTTAATTAAATATCAGCAAAATTTATTTTAATATTACTAGCACAAGTTGGTTTAATATCAGCATATAAGAACAACTTGTGTGATAAATTAGCACAATTTGGTTTAATATTATTACACTTTGGTTTAATCTGGTTGCACATCAGCACAATTTGGTTTGCTTTAATATCAGCACAACTTAGTTGAATACCTGTGTGTTTTTGTTAAGTAATATCATTTTTTTCTTTGATATCCCCACATTTTTGGTTAATTTTACCACAATTTGTTTTGATATAAACACATTTTGACTTCATATCTAACCAAAGCTTTTCAAATTAAGTAATACCACTTTCTGAGCGATGTTAAAAAGACACCCAAGCCAATTGTATCAAAACATATTAATGTAGATTAGAAAAATATGCATTTCAACATTTCGCAAAGTGAGTCATTCAATTGTGCGTTATCTTTTTATGTATAAAAGGAATTAGTGTATTTAAAGGGATAGGTAGATACACATACATCCTATAACTATATATAAATATGGAAATCCGCGAACATTTTATTTATAGATCCTCATAAAAACAACATTCGAATTTACCTTCGTCAAATAAAATAATATTAACATTAAAAAACAACAAAAATTTTATTGTTCAAAGGAGAAAAAGATATAATTCTTTTGAATGGTTTATTATAGTGAGAAAAAAGGAAGTTCTTTATTTGTTGTTGTTGTTGTTGTGTTGTTGTTGTTTTAATTGTTGTTGTTGTTGTTGTAAGTCTGTTTTTGTCTGTTTTTAGGCGTAAGTTATACACAAGTAAAAATGCACCACATGTTTGTTTTATGTTTGGTACACCATATGTTTTCCATATGTAAAACATGATGTGTTTCATATGTTTTGAAAAACATGTGTTTAAGAACATATGTTTTTCATATGTAAGATTAACATATGCTAAACAGGACCATATAATTACATGTGTCAATAACATGTGTCAACAAACATATGTTAAACTCATGGTTATCACATGTTTTTCATATGAATAAGTTTTCATATGCTAAATATATGTGAACTTTCATGTGTATTTCATATGATAATTTTATGTATCATATATTCTGCAAGCTTTACACCTTAAACAGTCTTAATTAGATTCTACATGATTGAACATAACTTCTTAAATGATTCTTAGTTCATGCATCTATGTGTAACTTGTTTAAGCCTGTCCTTGTTGATCTTGTTTATCATATTGTAACTGTAGTAAATCTATGGGGAAAAAAGTTGCCTTCACTTCCAATACTTCTCATCCAGTAAAAAAAAAAATTACTTTTTTGCAAAAAAGAAATGAAAATAAATAAATGATAAATATCTTTTCAAAGGGCCAGCTGATCATTTTTTAAATTGAAGAAAGAATTATGGGAGAATCGTCAGGGTGATGAAATTGTTAGGGTGGGGGGAATAATCTGCCACTCATTTTTAGTCATGATTTTTTTCTTCTGTTGTAAATGTTAGTATTGATTTAGGGAAATTTTAACAATCAAGAACCCAAGACGATGCGACCCGTGGGGTGTGACCGTGGGTTCTTAATTGTTTAAATGTTTACTAAATAAAAACTAACTAATTTAGTGTGTTCCCTCAAGTGCCGATAATTGAAATGAAAATAAAATGGTGTACATAAATAATGAAGTGAACATCAATATTCGTTGTATTATTGAAATAAAAACAATATTACAGAACAACATAGATTAAGTTTACATAAAAGATTCAAGATTCTTTATTAAGTAACGTAAACGCGTTATGTTTCTTGTTACATGATACAATTAACATCATATACATATTACACATGACAAATACAAAAAAATACATGGATGGTTGAACTCACTGAAAACAAGTTCGCATAATGAGCATTATTTACAAGAAGATGAACTACGTACAATTTCATAAATATGTGTGCGAATAAACATATGATGATAATCTAACACAGACATTTTTACAATACATTTACACTACAATATCAGATATTTATTTTACAAAACCAAATGTAACGTGAAAATAGATATATAAAATAGATACACATGTTAATGATTACAGGAAACTGCCATACATATGTCTAAGAATATTTGTTTAAAATGTTTTGTCTTATTATAAATGCTTCTCGTATAAACTGGCATAGTTTAATTACTACAGAGTAGTTTACAGATTGCCTAAGTTCTACAAATTTAGCAACACTTGGTTTGTAAAAATAGAATTTGTTAATATAACGTTTTCGGATTTGATTAGATATGTTGAACAAATAATAAATAATTTCACATTCAGCGTTATTTTCTTCATAGTATAAGCATCTAACATATTAAACAAAATCCTTTATTTAAACGTTCTAAAACTTATGATTTCCCTTTCTAAAGGAGGTTTTAAAATGTATTTGTTTCTGTTTTACATTTATTTTGCATTAATAATCATTCGATCTATGATTGCAAAGCCAGTCTATAAATATAAAAAAAATTATTATCTTAGCTGCACGTCATTGTCCCGGTCATTTAATTTAATCTAATTAAGGACAAACCAAATATAACATATATTTTCTAAAGGACACACTCAAAGAAGTCTTTTATTGAAAACAGTAGTGTTGTTTTGAATACAAACTTGAAAATGTACAGTATTCATTCAATAGAAGGTCTACTCAAGATACAATAGCATTACTGGAGCTGATGTTTCATTATGCCCATTAAAATGTTATATATACATATATTTGTATTAAGAATTCAAGTCTCAAAGCAAATGTTATTTAATATCACACGAAATTCATAACTCATTCCCCCTTAATTCGCCTCTTGGATGGTTTCCAAAAGTACTTAAGTTTACTACGTTTCCAAATAGCCTACAAGATGATGCAATATTTCGTGTTTGTTTAAGTACAACACAAGTTTGTTATAAAATTTAATTTTAAGAATAATTTTATGTGTGTTAAAAATACCTCATATGATACTTAAAAAGAGAATGATTATATCAGTTTGTAATAATACCCTATCCGTTTGTAATAATACCCTATATTACTTACAGCTAAAGACACGGATATAGTCAAAATGTACTATTGTCCACTTATATGACACAGTCATAAAATACATTTACCGGCTGATTTGTCTAAAAACAAAAGAAATATCTTCTTTTCTCTGCTATCTTACTTATTCTTTTCCTCTCTTTTTCAGAAAGTTGATTAGTTTACAAAACATATTTCTTAAACCTTCTTCTAACCAAGAACGAACTCATATGTTTTGTATATAACATAAAATTCATTCTTATTAAACAATTACTCATTGTACTTTCAAGCATATCCATGTACATACATATACACACTGCCAATATATAGCAAAAAGCTAGGATAAGGCCTATATAAGCATCAGCTTTCGGTTCTGATCCTTTTTCATTCATTTCATGTGCTGTAAAGTTCTATTTGTAAATTGTAAATGTGTATACTTGTTTGAAATAAACTATGTTTAAACTAACTAAACTAAAAACTATACAAAAGAAAATATTTTAAGTCGAGAAACTCGTGCATTTAAGATTTAACATTAGATAATAATTCATGGATACCTATATCCCGTATCGCAGGCATGTTAAAATAATGCAGATAACACTGAATTGTGCAATTTAAATTTATGGGTTGGGAGAAATGACCACTTTGAATAGGAATAGGATCGGTATATATTTTAAAGTACATATTCATCAAATAAAAATAAATGAATCAGCGCATACGACTGCTAGGACACTAGAAAATTATGTTCTAGCTCTCATAACATATATTTCCGTGATATTTTTTGCTTTGAGAAAACCAACCTGACTGCCGTTCTTTAGTAGAAGTTTGTGTTTCGCCGATATTTAAGCTTTATAGTTTGCTTTTTGGTATGCATGTACTCACATTTGCCGAACTACCGATATATAGCTTCATTATAATACTAGTTTTCGCCATATATTTCCACAATTCTGTGTTTTTTTGTGTTGTTTTTTTTGTGTTTTTTTTTGTTTTTGTTTTTTGTTGTTTTTTTTTTTTTTTTTTTTTTTTG